TCCTTCTTCTCAAGGATTTTAATAAACAAAGCAGTGCCAAAAGTTACTCTGGTTAAAACCTAATAAAGCTATGATCACATCCCTTGATATAACTATATTCTCTTTTGGGTGGGGATTTTGTTAATAATTTTCAGCACAAAATATTGCTAAATTTGATTTATTTCAGATGTTTGCAAGTGTGTCTGAGTTTACTTGGTGAAAAAATTGTAACAGATGATGGCTATATAGGAACTACAGATGCTGTAACTTTTGCCATCAGTTTTCCTCTCCCCACACATAGCAATGAAAATATGCATCTGAAAGGGAGAGAGAGAGAGACTGTCTTTAAATAAGTGAAACCTTAATTCAGGACCATTAAGCTTTCATAGGGCTACTTTCCTAATTACTTTTGTATGCAGATATATACCCCTTTGCCCATGCTGTTTAAGTAACTTCATTCCTTCTTGCTCCTCTGTCACCCATGTTTCTCCCCCCTCCCCCCATTATGCCCAGCTCCTTCCCCTCAGTTTAAGAACAGGATTTGGGTATGTCTTTGGTTTCTAAATTTAATTATGAGAACCCCATTTAAATAATATAAAGAATATTTTGGTTTAGGTTACTTTTAAAAAAAATGTTTTGCTTAGTTTTTTCTAGCTCTCAAATGCTGAGTCAGTTTTGGATGTTAAAAATTACTTTTGAACAAGGAGGCATTAAAGATCTAGCATTCTAGAAGAAAAGGTGAAAAAAGACATTGTCTGCATCTTTAGAGTATAATTAATCATATCGGTCTTCACTTGTATATAAATGGATGTAAAAAATTAAAGAGAAAACAAAATCAGCAAAACAAGATTTGAATTTCAGCAAGATTTGAAGTGCATTTTAGAGAAAATAATCCTTGACACTGATATGTAGTATAGTGGAAGAGAAATTCTTAGGTGCTGGTATGTGCTGGTGAATGGAAAATAAAAACTTTCAGTCTAGTAGGTAGGTAAAATCTGTTGGCTTTGACCTATATGGAGAGGCATAATGCTAGAGATCATGGAGCTGATGGTCTCTCTATGTAGTGGTGACGTGACTGCCCTTTAGGGTTTTTAGCACATATACTGAGGGTAACTACAGCATAAGAGATTTTTATTCATGGTCAGCAGGGCAAATTCTAATTTAAAGGCAGCCCTAAAACAAAGGATATTAAGGATTTGGAAAAGCTAAGATGTGTATTGTCTGAAGAATTGCTAAGAAAATTTAAACGTACATTATTTAGTTTGCAGAAAACAGAAAGGTGTTTTGATAATCATATTTGATTTTTTTTGACAGCATTCGAATTAAGTACAAAAACTTTTTGTAGATTAAAAAAAATCCATGGTATTAACAGTTTCTTTGGGATGTACCAGTTCTTCCAGTTTTAGAACCATAGCATTCTAGCATAAGCATGATTTTTCCCCCTTCTCTAGCATTGTTCAAGCCAGATTGATTTTTACAAAATTCTAGATCTTAGCCGAGAGTAGTTTTCATTTTTTCCCCTGTAGTACTTGAGACAGATTAGGCTACAGATTTACAAATATGAGATGATATTCAGTACTCCAGAGCAAGTAGTTATTATCTCATATTTTTATATATATTTAAATATATATATTATGTGCTTTATTTTAAATTTGTAATTCAAGTCCTTCTGCATGATTTCATTTAAATTCTGAAATGCAGTTCTCCTGTATGAAGGTAATGTTTCTGTTCCT